AAACTTTGAAGTTTGGAGATTTCTGGAAATAGGTACTTGTGCCTTATTGGGGTATATTTGGTGAATGAGGCGACCCCCAGCAATTTCTTAACCATAATCAAAATCTTGCAAATGAGTGAGAGGGTAGGCATGGTGGCGTGCACACCACCATGCATTGGCATTTCTGGGGTATGCAATGGGTGTTGGCCCTGAAAGATACATAAAATCAAAAGGGAATAAGTACTGGGGGATGTCTCTGAATCCCACCCAACTAAATGCTGCAGCTGCACTGAGAGAAAATAAATCCATGGGTTGGGGGCTGCTAGGCCACCTGCATTTTTAGAATACTGTAACAGTTCTAGTTTGATTTGAGGGGATTGTTCTACCAAATTAGATTTGTAAATATGGTATTCACTTTCATGAAGACCCTCAGGGGTATCCAAGTGGGAGAATTATGCAGAAAGTACGGGAGCTAGGACATCCAAATTATTTCAAGTAAATTGATACAATCCATTACCAAGTGGTAGCTTGCAGTATTGGTGATTCAAAGTATTAAACCAAGTAAGCCAGCATGACTGCCAGGCAAGTAAAATTTTAAGAAGGAGACTTCAGGATTAGTATCCCCTGTCTATATCTCATGGCAGTCTTTTAAAGTGGTGGGCAATTTTTTTTTTTTAAAGTGATATTAAGGGCTCAGGTTTTTCATAAAATAGAAAAAAACAAGCAAACATGTCATACTTACCTGCTCTGTGCAATGGTTTTGCAGAGAACAGCCCCAATCCTCCTCTTCTCGGGTTCCCCACTGGCGCTTCTGGCCCTTCCCCCCTGCTGATTGCTGTCAGAGCAAGCTGGGGACACTTGTGCGTGCTCGCTCCTCAGCCCCGCTTTGTGTACCTATAAGGCACACAGAGCGCAGCTCAACCCCGCCCACCGCACGCTCCTCACTGAGTGTGATTAACTGCAGTGGGTGCCAATGGCTCCCGCTGCTGTGTCTCAGCCAATGAGGAGAGATAGATCAGGGAGAGTCGAGGCTCCAGTGCACAGCGGTGGATCAAGATCAGGCTCAGGCAGGGTTGGCACCAGCATTGGGCAGCTGCTTGATGGGGTGGGCTAAAATCTGAATCCCCAGCCACTTGCTGAGGATTCAGATATTTAACCATAGACGTGTGTGTTACCATGTGACGTGTGCTGCGGTACCGGCCGGGAGTGTTTGTACTTTTGTGAAGCCGACTGTCGGCTTTCAATGTGGAAGTGCTACAAGGTGACAAAAAGCACCTTCACCTGAGTAGACAAAAATCCTTGCATCGGCCCTGGGCTCAGGTAAGTACTGGGGGGGCTGTGTGCATGAAAGTAACAAACCTTCAGCCTTTACAACTACTTTAAGTAGGTTTCTGATTTATTTTTCTTGGTCGGATTAATTTTTTTTTGCCTATTACTGCCTATTTTTTTTTTGCCTATTAATTTTTTTTTGCCTAGTACTGGCAACCACCCATTTATGATGTAAAAAAGGAGGTATCAACCAATCAGCTTGTTTGTAGTGTAGTGTAGAAACAGAGAAAGCTAACCCTAGTGTAGAACGCACACAAAAGCGCAGAATTTTGAACATGTGTCACGCTTATGGTGCCATTCATTGCCAATAGAATCCCAATTGTGTCAAGCAAGAAGCATGGTTTTGCACAGCAAAAAAAAAGTGTGAATTTCGAAGCTCAAAAAAAAGTTGCATGACCTTTTTTACTGCATTTGTCATGTTTCGGATATCCCATTGAAATGGACTGGCTGCCCTATGTGTACCAAACTCACATATGCATGGCGCCTGATGTCACACTACAATAGTGCGAACAGGGGCCTATTGGTAACTATAGGTAACATAAAAACCTTTTCTTTTCCTCTGCTTTCATAGAATGATCTTTTTTTTTGCTTTCATTTTTGATGTATGATTATTTTTTTCCCCTTGCAACAACTGAACAATATTTTATTTCTCAGCCAGCTGGAAGATCCACATGCCTGGGTGTCACACTGTGCCCGAAAGGTAAATATTACTTCCTAATATGCCACAACCGCATTCAGCTAAGCAGATTTATTGAAGAAAATGACAAACAGTGCATATTAACAGTAACATGCTGGGTAGTTTTTAAGGAGGAACCCTATTTGGTAGAAAGAGCTGGAAATAATTTTGGAATAAGATAATAAAATCCTTGGGTATGACCCAGTTTTCGGTTGATTTTTCTTGTGATGGCAGAGGAAGCAATAGGAATAAAAGGACACTCTAACTAATTACAGGGCTGTGCCCATATCCCCTCCACTATACACTGTTAGGCACAGCTGATGGAGAGCAGTAAAAGAGAACAAATAGTTGTACCTGGGATTTTCCCCCCTAGTTAAGATTAGCTCAGCTATGAAATGGCCACACATGCTGTACGTAGACTACAACTGGCGATGGAAGAATAATCTGATTGTACAATCCCTTTAAGATCTACCAACAACTACCATATGTGCCTGTCTGGACCCAAATTGAGCATGTTGTTCATGCAGGACTGCCAACAATGGGTTTATTTCCCTCCCACTGATACTAGAGATGGGATTTCCACTAATACCAATAACGGGGCTTGATTAATTCCCACTGGTATCAACAATGGGACTTATTTTTGCTCACACTGACACTTCTGATGGGGCTTATTTTACTGCCATCAGCGAGGGGACTTATTTTCTCCCACACACTAACAATGTGGCACTTATCTACTCCCAAAGACACCACCGATGGGCTTATTTTTACTCCCACTGTCAATGATGAGTTTATTTAATACCCCCTGACACCAAGAATTGGACTTTTACTGATACCAACAATGGAGCTTATTTAATTCCCACTGATCTCAACAATGGGACTTGTTTTTGCTCACACGGACACCAGTGATGGGGCTTATTTTACTCTAGTCAATTAACAAACTTATTTTTCTCCTGCAGACACTGACAATGGGGCTTATTTCTAATGCGTGCACCAAAATGCATGGTTTTGGCTGCACCATGTGTTTCATTGCAGCATAGTTTTGGAAAGGGTCAGGGACTTAATTTCTGCATTTCTAATGTATAGGGGAGCCCAATAAAATAAATGAATACAAGAAAAAAAGAACCACAGTGTCCAGGACCACCTTCCCAACACACTCTTTACGTGAAATGCCGCTGTACATAGGTATAAAACCACAAAATTTCTTCAACTTAAAAAACAGCGCTGTTTTTTAAGTTGAAGCAATAAAATAAATGGGCTGCCCTACACATGACACGTGGGAACACCAGGGCTTTTTTTCTCAGAGAATAGGTGCAGGTACTCACAACATCTGAGTAACCCCTTGTCTTCATCCCCTACCCACCTCCGAGCACTGTCCCATGGTTTCTCCCCCACCCCCACCTCCCAGTACCACCCCTTTTAGGGAATACAGGACTAATTTTGTGGTACGAAATAATTTGTATGGAATGTATTAATTATAATAAGAACAGCAGTAAAATGGATCCCTGCAGTCATCAACAATAGATCTGGACAGAATAACAGATCCCCTGCAACAATAAATCAGCACAAAAATATAGATCCCTCCAGCAACAATTGATCCCCTGCGACAATATAGCCCCCAGCAACTATAGACCCCCCTTCCAGCAACCATAGATCTCCCAGCAGCCAGCAAAAATAAAACCCCCAGCAGCTAGCAACTATAGACCCCCTCAGCTGTAGATCCCTCCAAGCAACTGTTGACCTCCAAGCAACAAATGTGCCCCCCAACAATAATAGATCCCCCAGCGACAATAGATCCCCTAGATGCCAGCATCAATAGACCCTCCAGCACACCTTAGCACTCCTTGCCATTATATACTTGCGGTGCTGGAGGTGCCGGAACTGCGTTCTCCTCCTACACACAAGAGAACACATATGCAGAGTAATGAAAGCAGTACAGGCAGTATAACATAATGCAATGCAAATACAACATAACGAAATGCATGCACATATACAAAATACTAATAAATCATTTAAAGCACATTATACACAAACATACATAATAAAACACACAGTATAGCAAGAGGCCATTCAACATACACTCTTTTGCCAAAAGTATCGGGACACCTGCCTTTACACATACATGAAGTTTAACCACTAGCCTACAGGGCACTTATACCCCCTTCCTGCCCAGGCCAATTTCCAGCTTTCAGCGCTGTCACACTTTGAATGACAATTGCGCGGTCATGCAGTACTATACCCATATGACATTTTTATGATTTTTTTTTTTAGACAGATAGAGCTTTCTTTTGCTTAATTTTTGTTATACAATTGTGTAAATAAGTGATTTTTCTCCTTCACTGATATGCGCTAATGAGACTGCAGTGATGGGCACTGATAGGCTGCACTGATGGGCTTTGACAGGCATCACTGATGGGCACTGAAAGGCAGCACTCATATATGGCACTGATTGGCACTGTTAGGTGGCACTGTTAGGCGGCACGGCACTGATAGGCAGCACTAACGGGAACTGATGCACACTGATTGACAACACTGATAGGCGGCACTGACTAGCATTTATAGGTGGCACTGACAGGTGGAACTGAAAGGCAGCTCAGATGGGCACTGATATGTGGCATTGATGTGCACTGGTAGGTACTGATTTGTGGCATTGATTTGGCACTGACAGGTGGCACCGCTGGGGCTGATCATCATCACACTGATCATCAGTGCACTGATGATCAGTGTACATGACCCCTCTGAGTAATGCCGATTACTGGCTCTCCTCTCCTTACGAGCTGTCAGTGTGGCAGCTCAAGAGGAGAGAAATGCTGATAACTGGCATTTCCTTATTTACATGCGATTAGCTGTGATTGGACACAGCTGATTACTTGACGGAGTCTTTGGCTCTTTCCGTTGATCGGTGATCCGCTGTGTTCCAGGGACACAGCGCACCAGTGATCGCCGCGCTGCATACCTCCAGGGGCGTGCCCACGTGGTTAGAACGGCAGGACGCACCACGTCAGCGGACTCCGGGTAGATGGCGTTCACTCTGTACTCCCTGCTGCAGGCCGCCCTGCTCTTTGTCAATGCCATCGCCGTACTATATGAGGAGAGGTTCCTGAGCAAGATTGGCTGGGGAGCAGACCAGGGGATTGGCGGATTTGGTGAGGAGCCGGAAATCAAGTCGCAGCTGATGAACCTTGTGCGGTCAGTACGGACAGTAATGAGAGTTCCACTAATAATGGAGAACTCAATATCGATCGTGCTACTTCTGTTGTTCGGCTAGATGTATGCTGAGCAACAAATAAAATGAGTGAAGAACATGACCAGAAGACCAACTGATGAAGATCGTTCACTGTGTATGAAGAGAAGACGCTGAACTGACAAAGCCCTAATGCAGATTATCTCCCAGTATGAGGAGCGGACTTTTTATGAACACAAGGAGATTTTTCTACACCCCCACCTCACACACTCGCAGATTCCACAGAAACGACGTTTTACCCAAAGGACACATTGATACAAGGACTGTTTCTTTATATCGTAGAGTGTTTACATGAGATTTTCTACCACAATGTGGATCCAAGCTTACATGTTAACATCCCCAAGTCTTCAGTACATTGAATAAACCGATGAAATGCACCACACCTTACCTGTATCACCTCTACACCTGCCTATACTATCAATTGTACATCTTATAAAACAGAGGCCCTTCCACCCAGACTTTCAGTACATGATAATCTTGCTGTTGCAGAAAAGCAAACAAAATGTCTTAATATAGTGAGATTCCTGAGCAGAAATAACGTGGCATCGTGTGTAAGCCCCACCCTTTCTCCTCCAAGCCACACCCCTTTTTTGTGCCATGTCGCCACTGGTGCAGAGTAATGCCACAGCACAAAAGCTGTTGTTTTGGCTGCAGGAGGCAGGAACGAACTTTCATACATCAGCTGTGACCTGCTCCTTTCTATGACATTGACCCGAACTATATATTTTGTAAATGTAATCCCTGTGATCTTTATACTGATGTCTGTTGTTTTTCTATAAAATTTACATCTGCAATGGGTCTGTAGGGTTAATTTACAGAACTGCATTTTATTGGTTTATTGTGTTTATTTTATCTTATCAAAATGTTCTGTTCAAAAAAAAAAAAACAACGGGAGGATGTCATATGACGTCCTCCCAGAACGCGAGAACCGCCTTTCACCCGTCATTTCCTTTTATGGCGTACAGGAGGCGGTTAATGGCATCCCAGTCTTAGTCCGTAGTTCAGTACTGAGTTAGTCCATCCTTTGCAGATTTAACAGCTTCAACTCTTCTGTGAAGGCTGTCCACAAGGTTTAGGAGTGTGTCTATGGGAATGTTTGACCATTCTTCCAGAAGCGCATTTGTGAGGTCAGGCACTGATGTAGGATGAGAAGGCCTGGCTTGCAGTCTCCGCTCTAATTCATCCCAAAGGTGTTCTATTGGGTTGAGGTCAGGACTCTGTTGTCCAGTTACGTTCTTCCACCCCAAACTCGCTCATCCATGTCTTTATTAACCTTGCTTTGTGCTCTGGTGTGCAGTCATGTTGGATTAGGAAGGGGTCACCCCAAACTCTTCCCACAAAATTGGGAGCATGAAACTGTCCAAAATGTCTTGGTATACTGACGCCTTAAGAGATCCCTTCACTGGAACTAAGGCGCCAAGCCCAACCCCTGAAAAATAACCCCACACCATAATCCCCCTCCACCAAACTTTACACTTGGCACAAAACATTCAGGCAAGTACCGTTCTCCTAGCATCTGCCATACCCAGACACTTCCATCAGATTGCCATACAGAGAAGCGTGATTCATCACTGCAGAGGACACGTCTCCACTGCTCTAGAGTCCAGTGGCGGTGTGCTTTACATCACTGTATCCAACGCTTTGCATTGCACTTGGTGATGTAAGGCTTGGATGCAGCTGCTCGGCCATGAAAACCCATTCCATGAAGCTCTCTACACACTGTTGTGCTAATTTGAAGGCCACATGAAGTTTGGAGGTCTTTAGCTATTGACTTTGCAGACAGTTGGAGACTTACGTAAGCTTCAGCACGTGCTGACCCCGCTCTGTCATTTTCTGTGGCCTACCACTTTGTGGCTGAGTTGCTGTTGTTCCCAGTTGCTTCCACTTTGTTATAATACCACTAACAGTTGACTGTGGAATATTTAGCAGCAAGGAAATTTCACGGATGGGCTTATTGCACAGGTGACAACCTATCACGGTACCACACTTGAATTCACTGAGCTCCTGAGAGCGACCCATTCTTTCACAAATGTTTGTAGAAGCAGTCTGCATGGCTAGGTGCTTGATTTTATACACCTGTGTCCATGGAGGGGGATTGGAACACCTGAATCCAATGATTTGGAGGGGTGTCCCAATACTTTTGACAATATAGTGTGCTTTAATTCTTAAACCAGGGCACTTTGCAGTGCCTTTCTTTTTGAATGGCACCTTAACCTGAGAACCCTCAATGCATTGCAAGCTTAAAGGAGATTTATGATCACAGCATACACTTTAATTTTAGTTAGTTAGTTTAGTTATAGTTATATTTGACAATCCAATGTAAGATTATGTGAAAGCGCTTTTTTCATGTTGTGAGTTCTGCCTGTCTGCTGGTCATCTCTTTCCACAACTTCCAGGATTCCCTGCATGCTTTGCAGCTTCTCCTCTGCCATTTCCTTTCCATTTCTAATGGTACCTTGCTATCTGCAAGCAGTGATTCCTGTACTGACTCTGCCTCCTGAACCTCCTCTCAGAAATGTGTGACACAGCAGTGCCTACTCACAGGGCATAGTGACTACAGAATTCAGGAAAGTAAACATTTTGACCATAGATACACTTAAATGTCTAATACAGTAAGTCCCTACAGATGCTACAGATGAACGAGTTCTGTTTCGGGAGCTGGTTCATAGGTCCAGCAAAGATCAGACAAAAGCTGTGAGTGCTGATCAGTGTGTTCTGGCGGCGGGGGGGGGGGGACGACACAAAGACACAGCAGGGGAGACCACTGCACCAACATTGCTTGTGTTAGTATAGCGATCTGTCAGGTTTTTTTTGTTCAGCCTGCTGGCTCAAATGAAAAAATCCTGAGTGTGTGTGTACCCAGCTTTACCAGCTTTACGGGACTGGACATGCAAACACATGTTCGTATCTTTGAAAGTTCACAAGTTGAATGTTCATATGTAGGAGACTTACTTTATCTATTTTTGTGAATTGATCTTTTTTATCCATTCACTCTGATTTTACATATAGTACATCCTATTGTTGAGGGTTGTTAGCTCAAGTGTAGTGCTTCCTGGTGTGTCCATAACAGTCAAAACTGTGGTTCAGGGTTTATCGGCCCACATTAATTTGAAAAAAAAAGTCCAACACAGAACAGCTGCAATCCCAGGGGATTTTCACCAGCAAAACATGAAATGGAAACATAATACCAAGCCTCCTAGTTTGTCCTCATAGCACTGTTCAGGCATTTTTCCTTGTTCCTTCAGACCCTCTTACACAGGCCCTCTCTGGTCATGTGCTCCTCTCAGCTACCCCCTGCTCTCCAGGCTCTCTCAATCCTCTCAGACCTCTAGGTTCTCTCAGTCCTCTAGACTCGCTCAGTCATCTCAACTCTCTCAGTTGTCTCGACCTCTCAGTTCTAGACATGGCACCTCCTGACTCCAGCTTGGAGTACTGTCTCTTGAGTAGAGCACACCTGTCTCCTAATAGGAGCCCTGAGCTACGACCAGGCCTGTGACTATAAAGACTATACGTATCTGTACACAACCTGCTAATCTCTGGCAACACCTGGACACTAGGCTAGAGGCTTCTTCCCTCCCAAAAGTCTTTAAGCCACTGCACTCTGGAACCCATTCTGGGAATTATAAACTGTTTTCTCTGATCAGGATAGATATTCAGGGTCCCCCTACTCTGCATTCATGCAAACCCAGTGCCACATTTGCCTATTTTTACACAGTGCAATGGCCTTTCACTGTCACCCCTCCTTTCCATTTCGATTTGGACGTTGTAATACAATGAGCCCGTGTTCTCAGTTGGGACACCTCTGTGCCAGCTGTCAGCCATGTGGGCCCACTCCTTTTTCCAGATATGTTTCCACAAGTGCCCCTGCGTAAATCTAAATTGGGTCCCAATGGTCTCTTTACAAAACCTTCTCCCTCTTTTCTTTGGGTTCTTCAGCTAACTCTTACTTCCCAGGTATATTCTGGATTTCCCAACATTTCTCCCAAAACTACTGTCCTGGGGTTGTAGGGAGCCTACTTCTGATACTGCAACTGATAAGGAATCACCCTTCCCATCATTTGTTTTGGCTTCAACCATCATAGTCTGTCTTTCAGGTTCACCAGTCCTTTTGTGGTTACCTTCAGCAACCAAATCATTATTCTCAGTAATATTCAGCCCTGTAGCACTTACTTCATGGTCACTGTTTTCAGCAGTATCAGCCCTTCCTTTCTCAGTGTCTACAGAGAGCACACACAGGCGAGTGGTCGTCTCCCACAAGAACTTCATAGGCTACCAACTCCTCCTGTCCTTACACACCCTGCAAGTACAGTTGCAAGAAAAAGTATGTGAACCCCTTGCGATTACGTGGAGTTTTGCATGAATTGGGCATAAAATGTGCTCTGAACGTCATCTAAGTCACACAATAGAAGAACACAGTCTGCTGAACATAATACTACACAAACATTAGTTGTTGCCGTGGTGTAATTGCACATAACATGTAAACATTCACAGTGCAGGGAGGAAAAAGTATGTGAGGCCCTAGCTTAATGACTTCTCCCAGAGCTAATTGGAGCCAGGAGTGAGCCAACCTTGACTCCAATCAGTGTGATGATATTGGATGTGTTGCTGACAGCTGTCCTGCCCTTAAAAAACACACACACCTGTTTTGGGTTTACTGGTTTCAAGAAGCACTGTCTGATGTGAACCATGCCTCACAGAAAAGAGCTCTCAGAAGACCTACGATCAAGAATTGTTGACTTGCATGAAGCTGGAAAGGGTTACAAAAGTATCTCCAAAAGCCTTGATGTTCATGTGTTGACGGTAAGACAGACTGTCTACAAATGGAGAAATATTAGCACTGTTGCTACTCTCCCTAGGCATGGTCGTCCTGTAAAAATGACTGCAAGAGCACAGCGCAGAATGCTGCATGAGGTAAAGAAGACTCCCAGAGTGTCAGCTAAAGACCTACAGAAATCTCTGGCACATGCTAACATTTTTGTTGACACATTTACAATAAGGAAAACATTAAACAAGAATGGAGTACA